ATGCATGGGCTGGCAGGTGGGGCTGGTGGAGAGATGGGGGGAAGCACATGGAGACACCCCCACAGAGCCCTGCCAGAGGGGGTGCCCGCTGGCCCACTAGGAGGATGTGAGGATGGGACCAAGATCAATCGAGTTTGAGACCCTGGCTTTAGACCAGCTGCCCGGACTCCCAGTCTCAGCTACAAGATCCACTTCTGCTCATCACGCCCGCTGGCTGGCGCTGGCTGCAGAGAGCTCTGCCCTTTGGGCTCTGACCTTATCTGATCTCTGTTTCCGCAGCCCGACTCCCAAACTCGTGTTTAACAGAGTGAATGGCAAGAAGCCCCCAGTGACGGCCCAGCCCACGGCAGCCCACGAGGAGAGCTACACACTGGCCCACGAGGAGAACGTCCGCTTTGTCTACGAAGGTGAGAGGCCCCCATAGGCTGCAATGGTCCCGCTAAGCTTTTCTACGTATGTACAGAATACACTTTTCTATATGCACTGAGGCATGTGCCAACGTGCACCCCCAGGAGAGACAAGCCTGCCTGTGGGCGCTCTGCTCATCAGCTGGGCGGCTGCAGAAGCACCCAGCTTGCAAGGAACACTGACAGGCAGGTCTGGCTAGTTCACAGAAAGAGGGGCACCCCTTGTAATCCCAAAACTCACGGGGTGTCACGGTGCCAGGGGTTATAATGGAGTGGGGGGGACACAGGTGTCCGGTGCTGGAGGTGCTTCCCCGGGGTAAGGATCCTGTTCTGTGACCTGGCCCTGCTCTCATCCTCTGGCAAACAGCCACTCTGTGCCATGCCAGGGGGCGTGAATACCAATGTCCTGGAGCAGCGTCTCCGGGTGGGGCTTGGGGTCCTGGCAGAGAATCAGCTGCCCACGACGCTGCGGCTCGTAGGCTAATGCCCTCCAGGGGGGCGTGGACAGGGACTCGCGTGGGTGCAGAGGTGATGCTACCTCTGGGGGCACCGCCGGGAGCCTGCGCCCAGCCCTGGGGCCTGCAGCCGAGGCAGGAGGCTGATGGCTTGGCGGGGTCAGAGATGCGCCGTGGGAGGGGGAAAGGGCCAGGGCCCAGTCCTGTCGAGCCGGGGCTGCGAGTCTCCTGCGCTGAGCTGAGTGATGATCACAGTGGGGCATGGGGACTCGTCCATGCGGAGCCAGGAATCGGGAGCAAGGTGTAGGTGGCGGGGAGGGCTCCAGCACCGAAGGTTCCAGGCCCGGCGGCTCTCGGGCCTGCGTTACCCAGGAGTTGGGCGTGGGGGGCCAGGGCTCTGTTGCCCCATCCCAGGGCCAGTGAGTGGGTCCCTCTGGCGTGCATCTCTGCGGTGCGGGGCCAGCGCAGCCCAGGGGTGTCTCCCCTCCTGGTGCCGAGCCTGGGCGCTCTCGGGCGGCAGGGCTCTCACAGGCTGCCGGGGGCTTAACTGCAACATGCCACCGCAGCTGCACCTTCTGGCCCTGGGCAGAGGTGGGCGGGGGCTGGGAAAGCGGGGAGCGCGGGGGGATCGAGTGTACAACAGCTGGCACTGGAATAGCCAGAGGGCCGGCCCCTGCTGACCCCTGCGCTCTCCTCCTAGCCTGGCAGCAGGTGGAACAGGAGCTGGAGGGCAGCCGGCCCGGGGAGAGTGGGCGTGGCCCGGTGCAGTACGCCGAGAAAACTCCCAGCCCCACGCTGACAAGTGAGTGTCCTGGCGCCCCCTGCAGGGGCCCTGCTCACCTCGGTGGGCGGCGGCTCTGGACGATGGGCTGGGCTGCCTTCCTGGGGACCAGTGCAGCGCTGGCTCTTTCCTAGGGCGAGGCAGCAGGACCCCAGCTAGCACGCTGACAGCAGCAGCCCCAGCCTCGGTGGGAGTCCCAGAACACGGGACCCATAGTCGGGGGCAGCACGTTGTTACCCCAGAGCCTGTCTCCTGTCCTGGAGAGAAGGGCCCTGGGGCCTGTCACCCGGGGCTCCCTTCTGTGGCTCTGCTGAAGCACAGCACCTCTTCCAGCTGAGCACCTGGGAGCGCCAGGGGCCTGGGCCAGTTCTGGCTCTGGGAAGAGCGCCCCCTTCTGAGTCACCAGCCATGTGTGACTGCTCCTGGCCTGCTCACTCACGAGCCCCAGCTGTCCCTGGGGAAGGCCGGGGTTCTCTTGGCAGCAGTCTTGGGGCACAGAGCTCCCTGGGAGATGCTCCTGCCAAAATACCACGCGTGGCAGCCTGGCCACGTGGCTCCAGGTGGCTGCTGGGCATGGAAATTCTTCCCCCCTCCACTCAAGCAGGCAGTGGGGGGAGGGCGGAGCCTTTTGCCTGCAGTCCAATGTCCCCCCGTGTGGGTGGGGGAACACCCAGCCATCCCCGTGAGCGCTGCCAGGCTCCCGTCTTGCGCAGTCTGGGCCAGTCTCCCTCTCCCCGTGCAGATTTCGTGCCGATCGACCTGGAGGAGTGGTGGGCGCAGCAGTTTCTCGCCGCAATTGAAAACGGCTCATGAACACGCCAGCCGCGGGGCCGGAGAAAACGAAGCGAAAGAAACGGGGGCTAGAACAAGCGCCGGCG